CGTGTGATGCTAGCATGTGATGCTAGCGTGTAGCGTGTGATGCTAGCGTGTGATGCTAGCGTGTAGCGTGTGATGCTAGCGTGTAGCGTGTGATGCTAGCGTGTAGCGTGTGATGCTAGCGTGTAGCGTGTGATGCTAGCGTGTGATGCTAGCGTGTGATGCTAGCGTGTGATGCTAGCGTGTAGCGTGTGATACTAGCGTGTGATGCTAGCGTGTGATAATCGCGTTAGCGTGAGAGAAATCGAGCTTTGCTGTTCCCGCAAAAGCGATGCGCGCGCCCTCTGGCCTTCCCGTGCGAGTTTGCGCCTGCGCTCGCAAAATCGGACACAAAACTCGCGCGCTCCCCGTGGTGGTTAATTAACTATCATCATCGTTGTCGCCGTCGTCAATCGCTGTCGCCGCCTACTCGCTTCAGTGCTCCCGATTGGCTTAGATAAATACTAGGTTATTAACGCTCGAAACGTTATACCCTCGCGCTGTTAGCCGCTCGTATTATAAGGCTCTAACTAACCCTACATCGGCGCGAGTATCTTTGCGTAATAGCACCGAGTGTAACCTTAGATTGCAGGCCATGCGAGTATACGTACGTACACGCACGCGCACCGACGATGTCACGCGCGCGGGAGCGTTCGATATTATCACAGATCTAAGGTGGCGTTTGCACCCCTACTCACTTCTGTATTTCATCGCCGCATAACACGCACGCTTTATGAAGTCTCTTATCATAGAAGTCTTTCCTTACCATAGAAGTCTTCTATTTATCATACATGTCTCTCCTTATCATAGAAGTCTCCCCTTACCATAGAAGTCTCCCCTTACCATAGAAGTCTCCCCTTACCATAGAAGTCTTCCCTTATCATAGAAGTATTCCCTTACCTTGGAAGTATCTCCTTACCATAGAAGTCTTCCCTTACCATAGAAGTCTTTCCTTACCATAGAAGTCTCTCCTTACCTTGGAAGTATCCCCTTACCTTGGAAGTATCCCCTTACTATAAAAGTCTTTTCTTACCATAGAAGTCTCCCCTTACCATAGAAGTATCCCCTTACCTTGGAAGTCTTTCCTTACCATGGAAGTATCCCCTTACCTTGGAAGTCTTCCCTTACCATGGAGGTATCCCCTCACCTTAAAAGTCTTCCTTTACCATGGAAGTATCCTCTTACCTTAGAAGTCTTCCCTTACCATGGTAGTATCCCCCTTGCCTTGTAAGTCTACCCTTGTACAAGAAGTTTTTTTATTACCGCGGAAGTACATAATGGATGTGCAACTGGCGCCTCTGAAGATTTAATCCTGCAGCAGATGGTCGGTCTCCCTTTCTTCTTACTCCCTTCCTCGCGTCTCCTTATCTCCCTCTCTTCTCCTTACCTCTTCTAATTTGCCTTACCTTCTTCACCTCCCCTTACCTCCCCC